GAAGGAGCAAAACTAACTGAGAAGGAAATAGTCAAAACCTAGAATTAACAAGAGACTTGATGACCCTGACGCCAAAGCCAGTTGCTTAGGCTTAGAACGTCTTATGAGATCCTGAAAGATGCAAAAGTAAGGAATTTTTTGATGATATAATGCGCGGGAGAAGAGAAAAGTATCAACACCAATTATTAGAAGAGAAGAAAACCACTAGCTGAACCTGATTAAAGATAACGGTTTGCATTTGCAGTTGACCCTCATGTGAAAGTGCAACCTGAGAAGGAGAAAATCACAAGGAAGTTTAAAGAGGAGGTTGCTAAACTCCGTGCTATGGTTTGTAAAAAGACGGCGCCTTCAGCTTCCTTAACTCACCATAATAAAGAGAAGAGTCAAAGATTAAAGGGGAATACTGAGGAAGGAAGCATTAGCAGCGCATGCAAGGAAACAATGCTTAAAGTCTCATCAGAGAAATTTGGCAAGGATCATTAACAGAGTGCTCAGAGATTGAGGGAATTTTTTTAGCAAGTTTGAGATGGTGTAAGTACTCATTAACAGTAAACATATAAACATGGAAAGAAAGCCCAAAAAGTGGTTGTACAGATCAGTATCTTAAGCCTCGAAATACATGTTTTCTATAATGAAAAGCAAGATGTAGTGTGGTCATTCCGTCAACATATTGGCACCTACAATCTCTGGATCTTCAAAGATTTGCAGAAAAATTCTTAGAGCCTCAACCTGATTGTGTTTTGACCCACATAAATATAGAACACTAGTCCCTCCTTCATCTGCCTTCTCTAGAGCTGCTTGCATAAACGCATCATCATAATTTATCAGGTTCAATATGTCCTCTTTTCCAACGATTGATAGCTACAAGATATGTAGGGTTCCTACCATCTCCATCTCGAGCAAAACACATATGATCTCTTGCCAAATTCTCCATGGCCCAACATTGTACTAATGTGAAGAACATATTACTTGATTCATCATTCACAGAAATTAATATCCACAACATTTGGCTTTTCCTCAAATAATTGTGAGAGAGCTGCAACATCACCGTCGCATGATGCACTTCTCAAACAGCCTTTCAGTCATGACTTCAAAAAAGAGAAAATGTATGGAAAGCTAATTTAAGTAAAATTGGGGAAGAAGAAAGGAGCCCGGAACTTTCCAAATCAGGGTGAACCCCAGACTTCCCAATACCATACACTACGTATAATCAAATGATCTACGTTTACTTTTCTTTTCTTTTCTTTCTTTTTTAATCATGGTCAGGTTGTTTTCCTTCCATTTATGTAAAACAAACAAGAAATATGACAATGTGCTTTATTATGAACCCGACATAATCGGGTAGGTACGCATTAGTTGAAAACTACCTGGTCGGAGTCTCCGTAATCTTGGACCAATTAGCTTCATAATGAAAAATAAAAATCAATGCTAGTCCAGAAAGACTTTCTTGGATTGAACAAAGAAATTGATAATAGAATTAAGGGATCCGCTTGGAGTTTTCAATGATCAAATTCGAGACAAAGGGAAAATTTTTTGATGAAGACAACGAAGACAATTTCTCATCTGCAAATATGGTAGATAGTACTCGACTTCCTCCAGTCCTTAATATAAGACATTTTGATTTGTTCTATGTTTCACAAAATATGCATTTTTAATTGAGAAAAAATCTTAAGACTATTTCATGACAATTAAGAGAACATAACGAATATGAACATTTATTTTTAAGATTTTTGTATCAATTAAAAATACATACTAGGAGGAACCTAGGACAAATCAAAATACATTCGGAGGGAGTATATGCTAATCTGAAAAGGGCTTTAAAAAAGTTTCTTTATTTTACTCTTTATCGTTTATATAACCGCCAAAACTAAATTAGTTTTGCAATGAGTTTTAAAGCTACATGAAGTGGAAAAACTAAGCAGTTGCAATATTGGTTAACTATAAGAAATTGTAACCCGTTACCAGCTACGGCAAGTTTTCAAACCAATTAAGAACTCTGTTTATATGTTTATAAAAGGCATGATTTTCAAAAAATAAATTATTATAGTTAACAAAACATCCTAATAGTTTTTAGCTAAAATGACTAAAAACGGAATGTAGAGAGACGAAATGATATTTTTTAAAAAATACCTCATGAAAATTTTGATGTAATTTTTTATTCTTTATTAGTTGGAAAAAAAAATATAAAAGTAATAAGTTCAATACAAGTTCAAGAAAAGGGGAAAAATAATAAAAAGGAAAAAGAATATATATATATATAGTGGCCGTCGACTTTTTCGTCTACTTACCTAACGCGGCGACATAATCGCGGCATATTTTTGCTTTTATTTTTTATTTTTCTCAGGCTAAATTATTATCTCCTTTCAACAATTGATTGACGCCTGAGTTTTGGGCTTGCCGAGTGTTTCCTCGACTCATCTGATATACTCGACAAGATACATATGTGTACTATTTTCTCAATATAATTTCATTTCTTTCTAATCTTTTAAGGTTTCACGATATTTTATTAGTACTCTTTTTGTCTTGAAAAAATGGTCCATCTTATATTTTCTAAATTTTACTAAAAACCAGTGGTGGAGCTAGGAATTGAATAAAGCAGGGGCGGTACTTTGTAAAATCAATTTAGTAGGGGCGAAAATAAAAAATTTATAAAATTCATAACAACAACAACAACAACGACGACGACAATAACAACAAAATACCTAGTTTATTCCCAACTCGGTTGGAATCCTGGGGGGTCAAGATGAACACAGCCTTATTCTTGTATTTCAATACAGAAAGGTTATTTAAGTAGTACGACCCAATATGTATTGGTGCAAATTTTTTCTGTAATTTCCTAATGCAAATTTAGAGGGTGGGGGCGCGATTGTCCCTGCTGGTCCCCTCCCTCCGCCACTGCTAAAAACAATACTATTCACTATACTAAATTGTTTTCAAATATTTCTTTGTGAACTAAGTATTCCACTTCTCCAAACTCAAAAGTGACCAAAAAAAAAAGAACATATTCATCCCAATAAAGAATGAAAAAGTATTTTTTTAACCAAAAAAAAAAACATTAACCACGGAATGCAGGGAGAGGAATCGAGATTATTTAAACCTAATGAAAATTTTTTGGACATACTTTGAGTTCTAATATTGAAGTAAAAAATGACAAGGGATTAACAAGTACCCATATGTAGAGGGAAAAAAGATTGAAATTGTATACATCGACTTTTTCATCCCTATGAAAATAGACGGCAAAGTCGATGTGAGTTTTTTTTTTTATTTTTTATTTTTTTAAGGGGAGTTATCCTTCTTGTGGCAGGTCAAAGAGAGACTGGATTTCTGGCTTTGCCAAGATTTACCTATGTAAATGAATAACTCGAGAATATATACTCAAGCGTACTATTGTCTCAACAAAATTTGAATTCTTTCAAATAATTCAAAAGTTTTACACTAGGTTCCTATTTAGAACTCTTTTCCAGAATTCATTTTGGTACTAGTATTCTTCTTGTTTGTAGTCAACATTTGACGAGGTATAAAAAGAACAAATCGTAGTCATCGTAGTAAAGAATCATAATCGTTTTGGTTAAAAGGACCAAGAATGGAATTTAGTAAAATGAAGGGAGATCAACGAGGTTTTCTTTTTAACCCTTATGAAAACCTTTTGGACATATTTTGAGTCTTTATATAATATGAAAACTAATAAAAGCAATAACAGGTAAAAACAATAGAGGGGAAAAAGAATAAAGCTTGTATCCGTCGACCTGTTCGTCCACTTACTCAAGTCGACGAAAGAGTTGACGGGAGGTTCTTTCTTGTATGTAACAAATAAATGGTGGCTGAATTTTGGGATCGCAGAGTTGTCTGTTGTATTACAGATGTCAATGACTCCCTCGACAACATATTTAAGTACCATTTTTTCTTTATAAATTTATTTCTTTCAAAACTTTTGAAAGTTTTATGATATTTTATTACTTTGAAGTATTTTGGAGTATTTATTTGTAAACTAACTATTCTGCTTCTACATACACAATATGTGACCTCAAAAAAAAAAAAAAATCGAAATCACTGCCATTAAGAGTGATTATTAATTATTCTTAGTTAAAAGCACTAAGAAATGGGATGTAGAGAGATGAAATGAGATTTGAACTAACATAATGAAAACATTTTGTTTCTACTTTGATTTTAAGTATAAAAAAAAAAAGGAAAATACTATTACTAATTAAAGGCCATATATAACAAGTTCGTATTAATAGAAAGAAAAAAAAAATTATTCTTTCCAGTGACAAGTCAACGACGCTGAATCCAGCCTTGCCGAGATCCGGGACTTGTGAAAGGACAACATCATTTGATCCATTTCCCTTTCACGAGCTATTCTTAATTAATCTTTTAAATTGCTCTAGCACTTTCACTAAAATCCTTTTTGTGCTTTCTCTTGCGGAATGTGAGGGGATAAAATGAGATTTTCTTAAACATAGTAAAATAGTTCTTGTACGTACTTAGAATCTGTATATCAAAATAAAAGAAAAGTAATAAAGGCAATAACACTACGAACTTGTTATTTGTACGGTGTCGTCTATTCTGTAGAAACAGGAGAATAAACGTCCAAATTACTCACACTGAAAAGCCGTCTTGGCCTCTGAATATGTCCACGATTTCGATGGAGGGGGGAGAATAAGATGACCCTTGTTCACACTGGACAGTAAATCCTTATAGAATTTGGTTTAGGAACAGTAGACATACTCTAATATTGGATTTGTTGGGTTTTAGGGGACGTTATTAGCCCAATATGATTCAGGTTAGGAATTGGATTTTGTAGATATCCTTTATAAATAGTTGAGTTGGACGGGCTGAATTAAATTTACCATTGACTCAAATCTCAATCGCTTTGCCGTACAACACCGTTTGTTAATCGACCTAGTACGACTCCGCGCCACCGTGCACCGTTGCAATCCTTCACTTGTTGATTTGTAACGATTTTCCGTCTTTGACTTTGTATTACTGCAGTTTTTGAATAAATGGATGCTGTTGATGTGGATCATTATGTTGTATTGGGTTTGCCATCCGGGGAAGAAGGAGCAAAACTTAGTGACAAGGAAATAGGCAAAGCCTATCGGTCGAAGGCCTTGGAACTGCATCCTGACAAGAGACTTGACTACCCTGACGCCAAAGCCAATTTTGTTAGGCTTAAAGAGTCTTATGAGATCCTGAAAGATGCAAAAGCAAGGAAGCTTTTTGATGATTTAATGCGCGTGAGAAGAGAGAAGTTTCGACTCCAATCGTTACAAAGCGCCAAGAGACGAAAACTGATGTCTGAGCTTGAAGAAAGAGAACGGTCTGCTGCATTCGCAGTTGAACCTCAGGCGGAGAGAATCACTCGGAAGTTTAAAGAGGAGGTTGCTAAAATCCGTGCTATGTTTTGTAACAAGACGGCACCTTCAGCTTCCCCAACTCACCCTAATAAAGAGAAGAAGAGTCGAAGATCAAAGGGGAATACTGAGGAGGAAGGAAGCATTAGCAGCGCAGACAAGGAAAAGATGGTTAAAGTGTCATGGGAGGAGTTTGGCACGGATGATTATAGTGCTCAGAGATTAAGGGAAATTTTTGGCGAGTTCGGTAAAGTTGAAGATGTTGCGATTTTAAGCAGTAATGATGACAAGAAAAAGAAGTGTTCGGCGCTTGTTGTAATGGCTTCCAAAGATGCAGCAGTTGCAGCTACTTCAACCGTGTTGGGTGATTTATCAAATCCGTTGTTCGTCTCGCTGCTCTATCCGGCTGAAGCTTCTGAATTTCATCCATTTTCTGGAGTCCAGCGTAATGTGGAACCTGAAGAACCACCATTGAGTAAATTTGTGGGTGCTGGATTTCAAGCATTCGAAGATTTAGTGTTGGGGAACATGAAGAAGAAGAAGGCTGCCGAAGAACAAAGTGGATGATGATCTCTGGCCGAGAAAGAAACTCGTGATGCCTATAGTCGCTTCAGATTCATTTTAAGGGAGTCCTGACTTTGTAAATATCCGTTTATTGCTTTGCCAAATGAAGAAGTTCACTTTACTAATTTATTAGTTATCACTGATTTGTTAGAAATTCCAAAGCTTTTCCTTTGTCACATACATTGTAACTGATCATTTTAATTTTGCCAGAACCTATTTGGATAAATCTATTCTCCAGCAATCTGTACTCCTTCATTCTTATACTATAGCGTTTCCAAAAATTTTAGCATACTTGATTCTTGATGAGGATGTTAATCAGTGTTCAGATCTTTTCCCGTGTTGCATTGAAATGTGGTATGGATCTCCTTGACGACATTATCTTTATGTGTTTGATTGATTTTTCTTTTTTCTTTCTATTGTTCTTTTGGTAAAATCATATCTACTATTTGATCTTGTTGAGGATATCATTGCAGATGCAAGTAACAATAAGAAAACCTTGCTTTTGGCTGTTGAGATTGAACTTTACTTGATGATGATGCCAGATGATGGATGTGGAAGCTGAAGAAAAAAGCTAAAAGAAAAGAAGCTAGAGTAGAAGTTAAGTTGCTAAACATTTTCAAGATAGTTGAAGATCTCAAAACAAATGCTACAACTTGCAAAAAAAGCAGATGAGAAGGATGCACTAGCAACAAAAGTTTGAGAGCTTCAGACGCGTCTTCTCTGCATATCTGACGATAGGGACAAAAATCTAACTCGACAACATACTTCAGTGCACCTTTAGTTTGTGGTCACTATGTTGTTAATCGTTCCCATAAATGTCCACTTTATGAATTAAGATATACTCCCTCCGGTCTTTAATATAAATTAAGTATTTCGATTTTGTCTTAGGTTTCACCTTGTGCGCATTTTTAATTGACAAAAAAATCTTTAAAATATACTTTCATATTCGTTGTATTCTCTTAATTGTTATGAAGTATTTTTAAGGTTTTTTTTGTCAATTAAAAATTGGCACTAGGTTAAACTTAGGACAAATCAAAATGCCTTATATTAAGGACCGGAGAGAGTATAGCATTAGAACATTAGATGTTTCCATAAATGTCCATTTTTACAAAAATATGATACTCCCTCCGTTCCTTAATATAAGGCATTTGATTTTTGTCCTAAGTTTCACCTTATACACATTTTTAATTGATGAAAAAACCTTAAAAATATATCATCATCATATTCGTTGTGTTCTCTAGATTTTTATAAAATACATTTAAGCTTTTTTTGTTAATTAAAAGTGCGTACAACATTAATCTTAGGCCAAATCAAAATATCTTATATTAAGGAGCGGAGGGAGTATATAATATTAAAAACATTAGACGTTCTCATAAACTTCCATTTTGGTTGAAGGAGAAAATTCAAGTGTTAAACACTGAGATACATGTTAAGTGGCCGATGATGTGATTCAACCGAAGTAATTTTTGTACATAAGCGTTGTCCTTTGCGAAAGAAGAGTAATTAGTAAAAGTATCATTTGCCTGATCATGAGCAAGGTTTCCAGGACATTATTGAAACATAAGCTAAAAGAAAATGAAATTCACACACAAGAGCATTATGATTCTTTAAAACTTACAACCCTTAAAACCAAAAGAGAACAAAAAAAAAAAGAAAATAATAGTAGTAATAAGAATATCAAATGACACTGAACATAAAAAGTTGGATTAATGCATGTGACTTTGGCTTCTTTTTCTTCTACTACTTATCCAATCCCTCAATTTTCTGAACATCTTTACTCTTCCCGCATTCAGTACTGAAATTGGTTCAGTATAGATGGAAAAAAAATTCAAAATTGTATACGTACATTGTGTCTTCAACTTACACAAATAAGCGATCAAGTCCAGAGTTGGCTCAACACATCTTGAAGCCTCAAGCAAAATTTTAATTTGGGGCTCTCCAGTAGTCGGATTTAGATAAATAAAATTTTAATTAAAATGCTTTAAAATTCTGACACAGATAATTTTATGAGATAACTTAAACAAAACACATCTTGCATGTCAAAATAATTATGTTAGCATAATTTTTTATTATCTTTTCAATAATTATTATAATTTTGTTTTTTGGTATACTGCAAGGTCATTATATTATATAATTTCACAAAATAATTATAGCAAACAAAATCTTAAAAATGAGGTCCTAAATAATATGAGGCCTAAAACTAGGGTTTTAGTAACTTCCCCCTAAAGCTGGTACTGATCAAGTCGCCATGATTTTTTTTTTCTTGGCAAATTATCTTTTCTCGCTACAAGTCAATGACCGCTGAATTTCAGCCTTGCCGAGTTTTTCATCGACTTAGGGATGTCGATGACTAACTCGACAATAAGGTTTACTCTTTTCTCAATATAATTTTATTTCTCTCAAAAGATTCAAAAGTTTTTATTTCTATCATTATTTAGAAGTGTGTTAGAGTGTATATATATATATATATATATATATATATGTATAGGAAGGTACATTAGTCTTTGGATATATTTCTAGTATTTTACTGTAAACCCTAAAACTCTAGCAATTAATAATTTTCTTCGGTCCCAACTTGGGACCGAAGAGACAAAAGGTGGGAGGCGACGACGTTGCACCACCACCACTGGCTTCAGTTGTAGAAAATGCATTACTTCCCCTGGCCTCGTACGATGATGATGACGAGAAGGTGGTTGAGGATGTGAATGTGGTGGTTCCTCAAAATATGAACTACGAGGTTGACGATGATGATGATGATGATGAGGAAGAGCATTTTGGAAACGACAATGTCGGGAACCGTAATCGGTCTATTGATTTGAGGCGAGATTGCCCTTATCTGGATACCGTTAATCGACAGGTATATTCGAATTTAGGGCTTTTTAATATTAAAATTTCTTCTGTATGTGCTTTGTGTTCTTTGAATTGTTTGTTTGTTGTAACTTAGAAATGCATAGTATGCTAATAATCTAAGGGGAGCCGAGATTATATATACTATGCATAGTATATATACTATGCATAGTATGCATAGTATATATATATATATATATATATATATATATGTATAGGAAGGTACATTAGTCTTTGGATATGTTTCTAGTATTTTACTGTAAACCCTAAAACTCTAGCAATTAATAATTTTCTTCGGTCCCAACTTGGGACCAGTACAAAAAGTGATGAAAATCGATAAAATGATAAGATAATAATATTTTAGAAAATCTCTTCTACATCTATAGGTCCCAACAAAACTATAAATTAATAAATAATAAAAGAGAAAAAATAATAATAACTATAAATATTTAGCACAATATGAACTATTGATACTTGTTTTTTAGTCCCTAGAGATGATAGGAACTATATATAGATCATTTAGAATGTAGAAGAGTTTAATACTTGATTGCAAGTTATGTAATCTAGTAAGGGTTCGTCTTTTTCTCATATAAATTCTTTAAATTAATAATTTATTAATTTATCCATTATTTTATGATTCTCTAAATTAATAAAATTTAGTGGTCCCGACACTATTAATTTATAGAAGTTCTACTGTAACAAGTTTACTAAAATAGAAGGAAAATAATGTGAATTGAGATTGTTGATTGTTTGTGAACTTTTTCAAGTCGATTAACAAGTCGAGTATTTTTCTTTGCATATTTTTCTTGCTTGTAACAAGTCTGATTTTCGAATGAGAACGTACTAAAACAATTGTGTCCTTGAAAATTTTTAGTGGCTAAATCTAGATTGAATGTCAAAATCAGGACGAATTTAAAGCAAAACTTGAAAACCTCACACTGTCCAAATGGTCTTGGAGAGAACATTCTCTACGCAAGTCCAGCCAGAACTTCCTTCGCCGACCTCGAGGCTTTGTAGGGGGAAGAGCAAGCTACACAACCGGTACTGGAGCTGAAGGAGGGTGGCCTCAGAGATTCCAGGCTCTCTGAGTAGGATTGGCTGGCAACATGAACTCTACTTCCTGCTCATGTGTTGTGATCCTATAATCTTGATAGTCACAAAAAAAAAGAACTTTGTGGACATGTTTCGGGTAGAATCTTTTTAAATGATTCACCACCTCAGACTCTCAAAGAAGAAAGCCAAGTGATTCCAGATATTGTATAATATCCTTCTTCTTCAAAACCCCTTGCCTGTTGGAGTCAAAAATCTGAAAGGTTTCCATAAAACTTTCGACATCACCCTTGTCAAAAAATCTCTCCATATGTTGTTCAGCTATGTAAGCCCGAGATGCTTCAACTCATGCCCTTCTTAAATTGGATAATTGTATTTCACTGAATGTAGTGGGAGCAGCAACATTCCCCTCATCATAAGCTTGTAGTCGATAAGAGCCTCTTTGCGTAGCAACAGATGGATCAGCTTGGTTTTGTAGAGGAGGCCCCCAACGTGACTTCAGTATTCCGCTTCCTTCATTTTTCGTTACTTCCTTCCCCTTATCAGACTTTCCAATCGGGTTGTTAACTTCATCTTCAATAGAGTAAACCCTGAGATTGGTCCCATACATTTAGTCCAATTCACATTTTAGTCCCAAACATTATCATTTGGAGAAAATGATCCCTAACCAATGTTCTCAGTTCATTTTTCTAAATCTAAACTATTTCTTGGTAGGTTCAAAATTGCATTTTTAATGAAATACCTTTGTACTAAAATAATCAATTTATGACTAGAGTTTGAAGCTTTATGACCTAAAAAAATTCGTATTCTACCATTAATTTTCTAATGTCTAATGTTTCTTTTGAAGTTTTTTTTTTTTTTTTGTAGCAATGTAAAAGTTAGAGAATATTTGACTTTTTTCCCAAAACTATTTGCTTCAACTTGTTTTTCTAATTAGAAAAGGCGACAAAGAAGTTGATAAGAAAAAAAAAAAGAAAACACCAATGTTTTGTATTATTTCATTGTTCTTCAGTAACAGGAGGATCATTGCGTGAAGAGATTTTTCATTGCTTCTCTTCTTTCCGATCATTATCCTTTCTCCATTTTCTTGAAGGAACAAAAAAACC